AGGGCCTCATCCTGAATGATGTGACACTTCATCCGAAATTCCTCAAATTGAGCAATGTACTCAGTCACTAGTTAATTTCCTTGCATCAAGGTATTCCATTAGGTAAAAATTTCAAGATCAAAGCAACTATCAAAAGTAGATGTATCTAATATGATGTCCCCAAAAAAACGTTCCTTATGACGAGGGAGAGAATAAGTATTATGACAGTCATAGCCTCGTTTTCGCTCACAAACCTAGTTCCTATTCCTACAATTGTGCCCGAAATATTTTTGATCACCTTATCGAAGACGATATTCTCTATTACGGGACACTTTAAATGATCAACATCCATCGAATGAGGGATTTGCGTAAAATTATTCAAGCTAGCAAGTAGAACTCTACTCTCTTCAAGACTCGTAGTCATTTGGAGTTGGATAGTTGTTATTTGTCATGTGAGTGCATCAAATTGTGAGAGGTCAATGATTAAGGTACTAAAACCAGAAGTGAGAAAACAACCATTATGTAGTTGCGCGCACTGTATTACCAGCTAAATAACGTGCAATAGAGAGATCAATGAACAAGTGCAAGTATTGAAAAACAGCAACTTGAGCATTTAAATTAAAAGATTGGGATTAAGTAAATCCAATTACGACAAGCTAATATTGTTGATATATGTAAAATAACAAAGCGAAGTCAAATTACTTATCAAAATCTAATCACGTAAAATAAGTAGAAGAAGATGTAGGATTTAACAAGGCAAGGATTCAATCATGTGATTTTAGGTAAAATACTTAACAGCGGCACAAAATTTAATTGATATAATATTAAACGAAACAAAATATAAACTAATAATAAATAAAAGTAGTAAGTTCCCTTCCGCTCGTTGAGACGCCGTGTCAATCAGCCAAAATAAAAGAGATACTAGCAAATAATATTAGAAAATATCTTCTTCTTCATTTTTCTCTTTTCTTTTTTTCACTTTTCTTTCTTCTTCTTATTCTTTTTTTTTTCTTTTTTTTACATATAAACAAATAGGTTGAAAGCCAAGGCCCAAAATACAAATCAAATTCCACTGTATACATTAACTGAGGCCCAATCTCCAAAATACACAAACAACTTAGGCCAATTACCAAAACAAACGCAAATATTCATTATGGCGATGGGTTGCTGACTGCGGTAGGTATAGGTGATTGGTATCTCGGCTGATGGTGCCTTGGTGTCATGAGTGGTAACAACAGTAGTGGCGGTTTAGATCAGTTATCGTTGGCGGTGGTGTATGCACTTTAGCGAGATGTGGGTAGTGTATTATTGGGGAATTGGTTGCTGATTTGAATGGGTATTGTTTGCGAAATTTTGGGGACACAGGCTGGAGAAAGTTAACGGCATGTACTGTTGCATCATAGAAGATGATTTGGGTTTGAACGATTGTAATTGCAAGTTTATTGGTTTAAGAGTAGCAACTGCAGTAGATGGTGGTTGTATGTAGAGGACTATTTGTATGTAGATGGTAGCTTTGTAAATTTTCAGTGCATGAGTTGGGACGATGATGGTCGCTAGTGTACTGTATGTCATTTGGAGAGGTGGAGGCGATGGTTACTAACTATGTTGTTGACTGTTGATGTTGTGATGAATTGCTATCCAAGTTTAGCTCTGATATCAAGTTGATGTAGAATGGATTGAAAATTTTCCAACTTAAAATAGGGGGATTTGTTTAAAAAGCCTAGTCAACAATAATATTTGGTAAAATAGGCTATGTCAATACTTTTTGGTTAATTAGCCTTTAGTCTACTTTATAATGTGTTAAAAGTCTTAAACACCCTTTATTTGAAATATCTAAAATATCCAATTTAAAACATAAATTTACCAAATTTCTCATACTTATATGTTCTAATTTTTCGTACACAATTTAAACTAACGAAAAAAATGGCATACTGTTTTTTAAACGACTGAATGCTGTTTTAACTAATATCATATTTGTATCACTTTATATTTCCTCGTATCCACATAAAAATTAATTAAAACAAGTTTTCACTATATTTCGAATGCTATTGAGTGTCCGTGATCCAAAACGACATGCTTTCATTATAAACCACTTGATGACGTTTTAACTAAAGTAAACAGTTTTTCACTAATTTATAGTGAAAACGAGACCCCATAATCCAAAATGTCATGCTGCTGTTTTAAGTGATTGGGTGTCGTTTCAACTAATTTCGTATCTGCCTCACTTTATTTTCACTCGTATGCACATGACAATGAATGAGTTGAAATTTTCATTACATTTGGACACGAGTAACGATACAAAGTTCACAGGATAATGATCAATATTATTGTTCCGTGAATAAAGTGAATTAGATATAATTACGAACGAAAGTAAGTAAGTTAATTTCGATTATATTCTAATTATGAGCTAAGATATTCAATAAATTGTCTCGTTTAACTTATACAAGTCTTTTAAGATGTTCCAAGTCTAATCGACTCGTTTTGTAGTGAAATCAAGGCCTCGTCATCCAAAATAACATGATATATTTAAAAGGCTAAATAATTTAAATTTCAATTAAGAGATAAAATACTCCACAAAATAGCTCATTTAATTTGTATAAGTCTTATATGATGTTCCAAGACATGATCGATTTGTTTTGGAGTGAAATTGAGGCCCTATAATCCAAAATGTCATGATGTCGTTTTAAATGATTGGGTGACGTTTCTACTAATTTCGTATTCGCTTCACTTTATTTTCACTTGTATATACATGAAAATAAATGAATGGAAGTTTTCATTATATTTGTCCTAAGTATCGACATAAAGTTCACGCGATAATGACCAACGCTACTGTTCCATGAGTAAACTGTATTAGATTTAATTATGAACGAAAGTAAGTAAATTTATTATTCTAATCATGAGATAAGATATTCAACAAGTTGGCTCATTTAACTTGTATAAGTCATCTAAAATGTTCCAAGTCTTACCCACTCGTTTTAGAGTGAAATCAAGGCACGTGACTTAAAACGACATGATATCAATGAAAAGATTAGGTGTCGTTTCAACGATTTATGTATTCATTTCACTTTATGTTCACTCGTATCCTTATAAAATGAATGAATGCAATTGTTTATTACATTTGGATATCAAGAACTCGTAATCTAAAACGCTACTGTTTTAAATGATTGGGTGTTATTTCAACTAATTTCATATCTGTTTCACTTTATTTTCACTCATATGCACATGACAATGAACGAATGTAAGTTTTTATTACATTTGGACATGAGTATCGATATAAAGTTCACATGATAATGACCAAAAATATTATTTCATAAGAAAATTACAATAGACTTTACTACGAATGAAGATAAGGAACTCCAATTCCGTTATATTTATTATGAGTTAAAATACTCAATAAATTAGTTTGTTTAGCTTGTAAAAGTCTTTGTTTTGAATTATTTACATTCATAAACACTTAAAAGTTTAAGGATGAAAGTTTCAACTACATTTCAATGTTATCGTCGATAAATTGATTCAAATTATAGCAAGTCACTCTGTAATCCGATTAAACTGCACTATACTACACCTGACAATAAAGAAAAACATAAGTAACAATTGTGGTATGCAGCACATAGCACGTACGGTCGTTCAATGTGTATAAGTCATGTATAATATTTCAAACACTGTTTTACTAGTTTCGAAGTGAAATCGATACCTCATGACTCAAAAAGGCATCTGATCAGTTTAAACGTATGAGTGACATTTCTACTTATTTCGTGTTCGTTTTGGTTTATTCATGCTCGTAACCATTTAAAAGTTTAAGGATGAAAGTTTTAACTACATTTCATCAACACATTGGTTCAAACTATAGCGAGTCACTCTATAATCGGTTAGAAACTATACTACACTACACTTGACAATAAAAAAAAAAACGTATAATGCAAAACATAGCATGTGTAGTTGTTCAATATATACAAGACATGCATGATGTTTCAAATACTATTTTACTAGTTTCGGAGTGAAATCAATACCTCGTGACCCAATAAGGCATTTGGTCATTTTAAATGTATGAGTGATGTTTCTACTCATTTTGTGTTCATTTCAATTTATTTATGCCTGTAACTACTTGAAAATTTAAGGATGAAAGTTTTAACTATATTTCATCGACACTTTGATTCGAACTATAGCGAGTCCCACTATGATTCGGATGAAAACTACACTACACTACATTTGACAATAAAGAAAAATGTAAGTAGAAAGTGTGGTATGCAAAACATAGTACGTGTAGTCGTTCAATGTGTACAAGTCATGTATGATGTTTCAAATACTGTTTTACTAATTTCAGATTGAAATTGATATCTTGTGACCCAAAACGGCATCTGATCATTTTAAACGTATGATTGTCGTTTAGGGTTTAGGGTTTCGAGCTTAGGGTATAGGGCTTTGGGTGTATGGTTTAAATGTATGGTTGCATTTATAGTATTGGATGATATTCCGAACATTAATTTACTAGTTTTATAGTGAATTCGAGACTTTTTGACTCAAAACAGCATATTGTCATTTTAATCGTAGGGGTGCCATTTAGGGTATAGGATATAAAGAAATATCGAATATGTAATCATTCAAAATGTATAAGTGAAATTTGACCCCTACAACTCAGAACGACATGTGATCATTTTACAAGTATGACTGCCGTTTAGGGTATATAGAAACTGTTTAGGTTATATAAAACATAGAACATTTCGAATTGAAATCAATCGGCTACCTAAAATGGCACGTGAAAATTTGACAATACATTAAATATATAGTTCACACAAACATGAAATCAAGATTCTATTACCCAAAATGATATATAATCATTTTAAACATACATGTATCATTTATACTAATTTCTTGTTTATTTCGCTTCATTTTCACTCATTAGCACTTGAAAGTGCAAGGACGTGAATTTTGACTAGATTTTGATGTCACAATATACACAAAGTTCAAACAATAGTAAGTAACATTATATATTTGTTTGGAAATTACACCACACTTGACAACGTACGAAAAACATAATACATCTATTCGTTCTAAAATACAAATCTTCTATCACGTTCCAAACATTCATTTACTAGTTTAGAGTGAAATCGAGACCCCATGATTCAAAATGATATATAGTAATTTTAAATGTATGGGTGTCGTATCTACTAATATCGTGTCCAATTTTCACTCGTGTAATAGCGCGTGCAATCGCAACTCTTTGTTTTTGCCCATCAAAAAGTTGAACACAGTTCTCACCAATTTTAGTCGAATAGTCCTCCGGAAGGGCAATGATGAAACTATGTGCATTAGCGAGCTTCGCTGTTTCTATAATCTCTTTTTGTGGCTCCCTCTTAACCATAAGAATGTTTTCGGATTAATGTAGCCAAAAAACTCGGATCTTGTTGTACCAATCCGATGTGTTTCCTTAAAAAAAAATTTGAACTTCAGTTTCTTGATGTCTTTACCTGTATAAGTTTTACAATATCATTAACATTAGATAATAATTTGGGAACTTAAGTGTGTGTTTTACAAAAAAAAATTGAATACTACTAGATAATATTGTCATAGATATGCTGGTCAGAGTAAACACAAATGAAAATTCTTACCGATATGCTTAATGTTTCAATCAACTTCTACATCGTCGAACTAAAATTTTAGGTAACAGAATACTTTAAAGAATAGCAACACCAGCATAGATAAGATAAGATGAAGTAAAATAGTTCTAAAGCAACACCTACAAGATATTCCCATTTAAACTTTGAATAAGCTACTGAAGCATCTAGCATCGAATTTAACCAAAAATAAATGTCAAAAGCAAGAAAGAATGATTTAGCAACAGGTATATTACTAGATTTAATAGAAAATTACAAAACTTCAAAAATATAGAAAATGCCTATCTACAAATCTATAAATCAGTGAATTAGTTGACCAATGAAATTTGCATGAAATGAAAACTATGATTCAAGTCGTTTACTAGTACATCGTTGATCAGACACGAGTCACAAGCAAGACAGAGAATTTCCTTATGTTCTTATTTTAGCATATGGACTACTAACACCTCTAATTTGTAGAATTAATGAAAACAACAGGGTATCCTTATCATTCCTTTCATGGGCCTTAAATACATCTAGTCAAAAGTTGCTTTATTTTGTAATTAAACATGATCATTGTCATTAGAATATACCAAAGTACATAAGCCATTCGATATTGCAAGACATGACTTTCAGGCGATAAAATAAAAAAAAATCGCTAAATGTTACACCGGGTTGTTGAAGGAAAAGAAAAAAGAAGCTCCCACTTGATGATAATGGAAGTAGACCCCTCGGTACCAACTACCAAGTGCAAGAGATAACTGTCAACTACTTACTAACTAAATGCATATTCCTGCAGAAGTAAATTTCCGAATAAGAGAACACAAGAGAGAAAAAAGTTTGTGTATAAGCCTTCAATTAGCCAAAATCAACATGGACCTTATGTTTAGGAAATTAAGCCAAAGCTCGCACCATCAAATATGAACCACCTTAAAAGGACTTAGTGAATGAATGGATCAAATTTTCAAAATGCTTTTGTTTTATTACAACAAAATTAAACAACCAATTAAAATTTAATTCCATAGAGTCGAGGGAACAAGCCAAATGGAACAAACAGTGAAACATAACTTATAGAGTTGCGTAGTAATAGCAGCACCAAGGACTCTAGCATAAAAGACAATTACATAAATAGTTACAAGAGCGGTGAATGATTTTGGTCATTTGTATGGCTAAGTCATGTCCTAAAGAATCGTCTTTTCCAACTTTGTGTGCAAATAATCTGTGTATTTCTTTCAAAGAAACCTCGCCATTTTCACATCATCCCCACAACTCTTCTTTACTGATTCTGAGTTACAACAACCCATTTATTATCAATTTTAGTAACCCAATGGAAAAGATTATGAAGAAAAAAGAGTAAAAAAGTTCCACCAATCACTTGGGAATTTCAACAAACAGGTCATAGTCCCTTCAATATAATTTCTCTGAATCACAACATACAAACTCAAAATGCAATGAATTTCTCATAGCATTCTATTGTGATCAGAAGAATGAACAACAAGGTGCAAGGGAAATTACATGTTCGTCGATGCAAGTGACAAATGTGATTGGGAAATTGTTTGCTTGAATAGGTCGTTCGCAACGAAGTTGCTCGAGATGATGGTAGCGTTTGAAATGGAAAAATAATTACATACAAATTTCATCTCATTTAGATAAAGAAGATACAAAAGTAAAGCTGTTAAAAATGGGAAAAAAGAATAAACAATGGTTGGTTAGAAATGTTTCTACGTTCCAGAGAAAAGAGATGGATTTGGAAAAGGGAAAGGAAAATTTTCTTTGTTGAATGAATAAGGATAATTCTGGTAGTTTGTTAATATTAATTTAAAATATTTATTTTAAAACCTTTATTCTGGTCAAAGGCTATTTTTGCAAATTATATCATGTGATAGACCATTTGACCCAATTTCCACCTTAAAATATTGGAAGATAATCAGAAGTTGAAGTAACCAACGGAAGAAGCAAAATGGATGCTACAAATTAGACAAACAGAGAAGAAAAAGAAAAAGACAAAGCCAAAGCCAAAGAAGAAGAAAGGAGGAGAAACCGAGAGGGTAGAGAAGACAGAGAAGGGAGACGACTTTGGTAGCAAATTACAAATCAATTCATCAATCATTAACTGTCCTCAAAACATACAATACAAGCCATATATAAAGGAAAACAAACCAAAAGATAAAGGGACATTGGACCAGCCAAGAGACAACAAGCCCAATTAATCTAAATAAACATAAGTAGAAATAATCCAAAACATAACATATATAGGTGATGTCCTCATCACCTCCATTGCTTCCAAAACCGGTGAATTAACTTTGTTTTGTATTCTGGTCGTCTTCTACCATTATTTTCCCCATGTCTTTGTGGTTTACAAATCATTACCATTATCTTATCTTTTATGGGTGAGATTGAGAAATAACATAAATATATTGTTTGTATGGGTTGGAGCCGTTTGAATTGGTTATTTGATAAACAAAGGTAACGTGAAACTCAGCTCGAAAAATACCGGTTTGACAACCCTTGGAACAAGCTGACAACCCTTGGAACAAGCTTCCAAGACAAAACCTATACAAAAAATTTCTAGAAGGGCAAAGACAAAAGGTGGAACTCTCCATTTTACTGTGTGACTCTGTGTACAGCTGTTTAATTTGTATGTTAAAGCACTATAGCTCTAAACTCATATCTAAAAATAAAAAAAACGGAAATACCAAGAGTGGCATCAGTATTCACAATAAACAGTCAACGAGAAATAACCTTGTGCTAAGATGCGCATACGAAACTTTAGCATTTCCCAACAGAAAGCAATCTGATTTTTTGTTGGAAAATGATTAAAAAACCCACATCAAGTTACAGGCTCTAACTAGAGCCACTGAGGCTTTCCTGCACAACAAAAAATGCCAACCATAACAATTTAATGATGATAATAGGGTGCTGAAGAAAAGTTGGGAATGAAGAAGAAATACTTCTTTTTCTTTCAAAATATAGAAAGATTACTCCAAAATCATTCAAACATGGTGTTATCAAGTCAAATGGATGAAAAATGCATCAACATATTGCACCAGCAACAAATACAAGAACTTCTCCAACATTAAAATGCCAACAAACATGACTAAATGATGCATAATCTCAAAGTTAATAACAACGTGTGAAGTACAGTCCGGAGAAACATAGGGGTACAGCTGAAAGCAGGAATTAACGGTAAATTAGAGACAACTGTTTGTCATTACATGGGTTTATCTCATTATGATACTGAATTGTTCTGACAAGAGTCTATAAACTTTTACACTAAACTAAACAGAGAGAATGAAAAAGGAAAGGAAAAAATGAATCTCACATATCTCTTATTGATGAACTATTCCCATTTTTTATGGTTTTGATTTAAATTAAACCAAAATCGAGGAAAATTATGAGTCCATTTATGAAACATTAGAAACGGCCAAACTCTTGAAGATGTAACGGCTTCTTCTATGTATTTGACAGGGGATATATGGGAATCAATTTTAGGATATATCCAACAATGGAAGTGCAAAAACTCAAAACCGAATTGAACTTAAAGCCCTACAGGTCAGTCTGATAAATGCAGGCATAGAACGAAAATCTCTACACTCCACACAAATGATTTATAGCACAGGTAAATATACACAACATATAGGGACGGAGTTTATACTTTGTCGTTGTGAGTAATGTACGAAACCACTACGGTGATGTCATCAAGCTTTCCACCAGTATATCGGAACCCTGCTGCTTGGGCTGCAGCAGAAAATGGTGTCTGCCTGTTTTTGTCCTGTGCTCGTTGCCGTGCCAATGCTGCTATCTTCTGGGCCGCAAACTGAGGCCCTAATCCCCCTCTCACAGCTTGAACTACTACAGTAGTAATGTCATTGTTATACAAATTGTCAAACAGCCCGTCAGTCCCAGCAATGACAACATCTCCTGGGGTAACAGAAATGATAAACACCTGCAGCGCCCGAACAGGCATTGATCTTTTTGTAATTTAGACTTTAGACAGAGATAATCTACAGCTTATATCTGAGGCAAACTTAGCATAAAACGTGGTCAAAATAATAGGCCTTGAAAGAAAGGCAACATTCAAAAATCTGTTAGAGGAAAAACAGTTGGTTCAAATGTCAGCCTAATAATTTCCATTTACAGAAGTTATTACCGAAAACAACTGGGTGTTCCAATATTTTAAACGAGAGATCATGCACCTATTATCCTGTGAAGAGTATTTGAAGCTATAAATAGACAGCAGCTATGATAACTAAAATCCAAATATTTCCACGACTGTAAAGTAGCATAAGCTTCAAACTTTCTATCATTAGTTCCATGTTTGACCATCAATGAAAGAGAAAATTTTCTAGACAATCTAACTGAACATTTTCATAAGAAAAAAGCTTGATTTGTAAACCAATTAGACAGCTTAACAATCGGAGAATACAGCCTTCTAGATGACTTCCTTCATGCAATCACTTTGACAGGCACTAACTAATTGAGATCCCTGACAACAAGCATTAACAGGCATAAGCTCCATTTTTAAGAAACAAGGAATTGCCGTTTTCTAGACAATCTAACTGAACATTTTCATAAGGAAAAAGCTTGAATTGTAGACCAATTAGACAACTTAACAATCAGAGAATAAGGCCTTCTAGATAACTTCCTTCATGCAATCACTTTGACAGGCACTACCTTATCAAGATCTCTGACAATAAGCATTAACAGATATAAGTTCCATTTTTTAAGAAACAAGGAATATACTTTTAGAGATATGGTAGTAATTCTCTATCCACTAGTCAAATATCGCACTAAATAAAGCAGAAAGGAAGTATGAAGAAAATGGGACTTAACTAACCTGTCCAGAGCTAGGCAAATCTCCACCATTATCACTCTCCAGCTGATACGGGTAATTGAAATCATGCTGCTGAACTGGGGATCTGAAAACCGTACAGCCATCTCTAACCACCATAAACCCACTATCCCCTAAATTAATGGCATGAAGACCCTGTTAAGAAAGGAAGTATGACTAGTGTAAACTATGCAAACTTAGGCACATCAAGTACTTTTGATTACAACTGAAAAAAGTTAAATATTGTAAAACATTCAGAGAACAACAAGAATTCGAAAACATAGAAAAATATAATTCTTAAAGTAGAACTATTTTAATCAAGTGAAACTTGAATAATAAATATCTTATGTCAATTTTATTGATCATTAATGTCCTTTTTATTTGTGGTATAGTAACTCAAGTCGACTATTAGGTACCTGCTCTGTAAGAGCAATAATACAAGCAGTTGATGACCCTCTGGATTTCGTTCTTATGTAAGCTTTCTCCAGGACTCTGGCTGGGTCAATGGAACCACTTGGTTCTTCTTGGATTGCACAAACAGAATTGGACATAAGCTCACGAGCATACTGTCCTGAGTCAACCCCAATATCAGCCCATCCACCGACACCATCGGCTACCCCAATGGCTTGTCCATCCATACAAATAAAATGAGCATCCTCTCCACCAGTTTCTTCTTTATCAGGATGGGGCAGATAGCATGATCCTGAATTTAGTTTCAGAGTTCTCCCTGTTGGGATCTCCCTGCAATCAACAAGTGAAAAATTAAAAAAAATTAAAAAATCAAAGAGATAGTCCACAATAGTTTCATTTCTGTACCCAGGTTCTCAAATTAAATTATTAAAGTAATCACACAGAAAAATTTGTTTCCTCTATATGTATATATATAGTTTTTGTATGTATTTGATTGCGTAGCCAATCAGTATAAACGGAAAAAACTCAAGAAAACATACAGCTTAGAGGAATCGACAGAACTTGATTGCTGTTCCTGACACACTGAGTTATCTATGGACACATTAGGAGCAGAGCGAGCAGAGAAGTATACTGAGATGTGGAAGCCCTCGAAGCAAAATCTTCGGTGTGGATTCTTCACAACGTTGTGCATGAAATATCCATAAATCAAGAAATTATTAGGCTGTTCTTTACTCCTGAAACTCAAGCTAGCATTTCTATAATTTCCAGAGCTTCTTTTCCCACAAGTGAAAGAATGATACGCTGCCACACCAGGTTGCATACGCCTGGAAATCAAATTATTTGTAGAGCACTCCGCAAGAGATAATCTAGATCCACAGACAGCCATGAATACCTTTTGAGGGTTGACTCCTACTGTAACCTGACTAGGCTCTGATAGAAGACAATCAACGTGATACCCACAAACTAGAAATGAAGGTCCTAACAAAGACACAAATGAACTTGCACTAGAAACTGCTCCAAAAACTGGAAGATTCTTTATCTGGTTGACATTATGTAAATTTGCCTGACCTGCAGCAACCATACGAGGTTGCACAAAAACATGCTTGTCAGTAAATGTTTCAGAGGGCACAGTGCAGGTCAACCTTGAGTTGCCAAGCAAAGATTTCCCTAGGCCAGTCAAAACTTCTATCTGAGCTTGGACTCCACTATCTTGCCCCGATATTGATCTCCACCCTCCCTTCCGTAATGTGCCACTGAGTCTCAAAAAATAATTACAAGGCATTTCCCTGCTTGGGTGAAAAAATCACCCCAACTGTTTGCTATATAAATCACAATGATGCAGTGCCACACACACGAGACAATCACATTCCTTTCAGCACATCAATCTATTTACAATTGCGTAATCCAGATCACCTTTCCCCTTCACAATATATTACAGGAATCAAGGAACCTAATGTTAAAGAAAAGAAGAGAGAAAATATAACGAGAATTACTCAACAAACTTTGTCAGACTTAACACAATATATGGTAGTCACACAACAGCATCAGTTATCAGAACTGGAGTGGTAACATATGAATCCATGGGGCTCCATTTTCTTATCTTCTCAATATATACTTAGACAATAACAGCTTATAGAGCAGCAACGACAACCCAACAAAGCAAGTGAACATCTGCAATTACTTTCAGCTATCTATTTTTAGGACCAAAAAATAAATCCTCATTCATAACAGTGTAAAATCTTAAAAGGGAAATATCAGTATATTTGGTTTTCAACAAAAATCATCATTAAATAAAGTTTATCTACTTGTATGTAGATTTCCACTAAATGAGTTTTCCAAGTTTAATGACAAAAATGGGTATTGTATTCATTTTTATTTTAATCTAAAATACTAAATCGGTACCTGACAAAGTAAATAGAGAAGAACCAAATTACCCATAAAGAACTTGTTTCAGTATTCCTTGATATCCTATAATTTCTCAAAATCAAATATAAAGAAACCAAGGCTAAACAAAACCGGAGGCCAATAAAAAAAAAATGATCTAATCATCCCTATTCACAACTCCCCAATCCTACAAGAAATGGAAAAACTTGTTAAAGAACTGTGATCCCCTGAAACTGCCAACACTGAATGAAACACTATTAAACTATTGAAGAACAACAAATGGAAGCAAGTTTAATTCTTGTCATAAAAACGAGAACTTTTCAATTTCAAGTATAGAAAGATCAAATTCAACCATCATCTCCTCGATGCTGCAATAGACAAAATTTCAGCCCTATCAAACATTAAAGGCTGGACACAACTAAAATCATCAAAAAACTACTTAACAATAATCAAATACAAAAAGCACAGTGAAAATATTATTCAAAAGTACAAAATCATCAATATGACTGATGAAAGTCGCACCTTACTATTCACAAAGTGGCTAGCAGTGTCAGAAAGCTCTGCGGATCCCCCAACAATATATATTAGCAAATAATTTTATAAAATCCCAGAAAATATTAAGATTCGTGGTTCATATTCGTTGTTTTGGACTCCTCTCTCTTTCTCTCAAGATTTTGAGGGATGGCTGTTGGGGTTGGGTTGCTGAAAGGACAAGTCCAAAATCTTGGTTCTAGAGAGGAGAGAGAAGAAAATCTCAAGTCATTCAAGGACTGTCTTTTCTACGAGAAGCTGGAAGCTAAGCTAACAACACTTCACCAATCACCCACAATCTGGCTGTTTTTTTTTCCTCTTTTTTTTTTTTTTAACTGTTGAACAAAAAGACACATGTTCCTGTTAACCTTTATCAGGACAGGTCAAATTTGGGAATTGGGGTTTATTGATGGAGTAATGCTACAAGTATAAGGTTTTTGCAAAAAAAAAAAATTTCTCAGACATAGATATCGAAACATTATTTAAAGATGAAAAAAACATAAAATACAGAGGGATAGGATTTTTTTCATTTCAAAACCTTGTATAAATTCTGTAAGTTTTTCCTGTACTCGAAAAAAATCATTATCAATGAACAGTTAAATTAAGACTAATGCTATGCAATCCTACTGAGTTCGAACTTTAGTTTAGGTGGTGCTAGCAATAACGTCACCTCAACTAGAATTATAACCTCAATAAGATTAAATAGTAGGGGTGGGCGCGGGTCGGTTCGGTTCGGTTCTCTTTAGAACCGAACCAAACTTTTCGGGTATCTAGTAAATGGAACCGTCGGGTCCAAATATAATTATAGAACCGTTCGGGTTCGGTTCCATTCGGTTCTGTTCGGATCGGTTCGGTTCCGTTCGGTTCTGTACTATAATTAAATTTTTTAACATTTATAACAACGTTATATAAATATGACTAATGATACATTCAATAATTTTGGAATGTCAGAGATTAGTAAACTACCTTATTCAAATGATCGCTACGATCAAAGCTTCAGTTGGGAAAAGTCACGGCTTCGATCGGAGGTCAGAGTGTCGGCCGACGATTGTATAGGTTTTGGAATATTAGATAGGCTGCGAGAGTCGAGACGACGTTATGCACTTTATTGTAGATGTTTAGGGTTATTTAGTGGATTTGATCTTATTTGGCTAAGAAATGAAACAATAAAATGGGTAATTGGGCCAAAAATTAAAAAATTAGAAATGAAATAAATTATTGGCCAAAAATTTGGATTTAGAAATCATTAATTTGTTAATTTGTTTAGAAAAAATTAAAATTAAAATAATTTGATTTACTCAATATAAAAAAAAAATTAAAAAGATTCGGTTCTTATTCGGTTCTTCGATTCTTGGTCTAGAACCGAGAACCGAACCGTACCCGTCGGTTCTCAATTCAGATACTCGTTCGGGTATTTAATTTGACAAGAACCGTCGGGTTCGGATCGGTTCGGTTCAAGTTCGGTTCGGCTCGGGAGATTTGCCCAGCCCTATTAAATAGCATTACTCTTAAATTAAATAAAGATAGTTTATTATTGAAATATAACATATTTGATGCCAGTTCAAAAAAGGGCACGTGCTTGCCACTCTAAAGACTTTTTGTCCCTTCTATTTTTTTCTTCACTTTCAATTTTTAGCCTCAATCATTATTTGAAAAAAATAATATTTTAAATTATGATTTTTAGTAGAATGTGGTCCAAAAAAAAAAATTGAATTTACGTGCAAAATATTTATTACATAAATGTGTGATTAAAAATAAGTATTTAGAAAAAAAAATTCAAATAAAGTCCAGCGTTCAATCATTTTCTATAAACAAAGATAACATTCTTATGCAATTACAATAGAGTTTTATTAAAATTACTCAACAAAATGATTATATTTTTGTAATTTGTACAAGGCTCTAAAGAATCGAGAAATTTAATGCACTTTAATATGATTAAGCTTTGTAGTTGAACTCTCTTCTGTTCTTTTTCATTTTCTTTCTTTTTTTTTTCTTGGTCTAAATGATAATTTGAACACCTCATATTATCGTGAAAAAAAGAAGCATACGTGATTTCACATTCTTTTCAATTCCAATTGAAGAGAAAAGGAGTGTTTGTATTCATTAAACCCAAGTTTCACAATTCCAATGAGAATTGTAACCAGACAATTTGTGTGACAAAAGTTCAAAAACCACGACACGTTCTTAACAAAGCATCACATGTATTTAGAACTTGTTTGATAGAACTTAAAAGTCGATTAAAATAAATTTTTTGACCGTTATTTCACTATTACAATCATCATTTTTGAATTTTTCTCTCGCAGATAAAATCCACTTTATCTCTAACGGTCAAAAAATCAATTATCAAAATCCTTATCAAACAAGTACTTAGTTGTTTATAAGATCAAGGATAGAATAATTCAACCTTCACTCTCAAGTAACCTTTCAAATCAAGCTTGTAATTTTATCAACCGGTGAACAAAAAAAGAACCTTCTTTACCCGCGGTTTAAAAACGCTATCAAATGCAAACATATTTCATCTGAAACCAAGTCAAGAATTTCTTCTCTAAATGCCTCTCAGCATATTACTATGAAAGTACCATCAATTTCAAATACTTTCGGAAAAAAAGAGTAAAAATACATATAAACGCTCAAATCCCATATAAGAAAATGTCAACTGAATGCAAACTATGCCATGTGCACTTTATAATTCTTCATCCATTCCTTCCTCTTAACCTCTGTATTGATATTTCCCACGCCATTCTTCAACGCAGATACCTAGAAATTTAAGAAAATGAAGGAAAAATAATGAGAGATACTGGAGTAAATATAAAAACACCGAATTTTGCAAGTCAATCTGCATAGCTTTATGGGTATGTTTAGCTAAGCTTAAAAAAGGAAGTAAAAGTTAATTTTAAGTAACTTCCTCCTTCCAAACATGCTCGGACATGTTAATTTCTAAAGTTAAAAAGAAAAGAGTTAACTCGTTTTGAAAGTAATTCTTACCTTCTATCAAATAAGTAACTTATGCAAGGTATAGTGCACATTGATATTGGGAAAAGGAAGCCAATTTAAGCATCAAATGCAAAAGAAAGTAAAGGCACTTCTAACTAAAAAGAGAGAGAAAAGAGACTGGACTACCAGTTCCTACTTTTCGATGATCTTGTAACTACAGAAAGTCTCGTTTTAGCAACCAATTAGTTCCAAAATGAAATTTTTTCTACATATAATAGCCAACAGAATGTATTATTGCATTCCCTGTAGCAATATTGGAGGGATTTAAATCAAGCAAAAATTTCAAGAAAACAAAAATAATAGGAAATATGTACACATTTAATACTAACAATAACAACTCTAATTCTACAAAGGACAATACGAGCACTATACTACTACGGCATGGTTTGAAAAGCACAATATAATCAGACGTCCATTTCTTGAAAAATATCTTGACAGACAATAAAATTACCTACTTCCATTATCTCAACAAAACATTATTTCAACGTAAATATTTGACTGCTGAGAAGGCACAAACATAGCCACAATGAGCAAATTGTGGGATGAGTGTGAGGCAGGCAGTATCAATATTTGAGTGATGGAGATATTCATGTTTAACAGTTACACTAGCAATCTCCG